ATGATGCCGATCTCTTTCTCGCCAATTATTTTTTATATTGCGGATCCATTGCCAATCTGCTAAATTGCCAGTATAATACCAATCACAACATTTTTTGCAATTGACACAAGCATTACCCTTACAAGGCAGTTCGAAATGCGCTAAACAGATGTTAAAAGTATTCAACGTGAATTAAAGATTAGTTTAACAGCTTCTTCTACGTGAAACGCGAGTGGTACTGATGATTCAACCAAAGGTTATCTTACTGGCAAATAAATGTTGAAACCTTAAATCAGCTTTCAGCAATTGAATATCTTAGATCTGGAAAATTCGCAAATAGAAAAATGCCATTATCGCATGTTGAGATATGATCTCGTGATGCTCATCATGGGCTATGACAGATCTCTATATATGTTACTCTTAAGAATTAATAGAGGAATGTCACTAAAATAGTGTGAACACTTATTTATGATTCAGGCAGCACCGTTATCTTTTGTATTTAAATTTTGTTTTTTACAGTGTTTTCAGTGTGCAGTACAAGGACTATTGCAATTGTAATTCTGATTCATCTGTAACATGTAAATATACATGTACGAATAGCTCAGCCGTGTAAATGCTTAACTTCAGACTACAAAGGTACGATATTCGTATCCATTTGGAATTAACCTCAAGAAAGCATAATGTAAATCCATGTTTCGGGCACTATAAGGCAGTAATGTATATGGTGGAAAAGGAATAATAGAACTCGCATGACAATGGTAAGAAGGTCGCGTCAATAATGTGATTTTCTCGTATAACTGTTACATTATATTCTGACTTCTTCTAGTTAAAACAACATGATGAATTTGATGCGAGTTTCATGACTTTGATGAGATGCCCTTGATGAGAAAGTAATAGGTTTGCCTCATGTGATACAACTAAAGGTACATGGATAAATTTAAAAAAAAATTGACTAATGGTAATTCTTGTTCTTTAACAAATCTTTCCAACGTAAAATATGTATTATGATTCACATCTTGTAAATATTCATCGTGTAAGTATTGATCACAATTTGCGATAATAGAAGTACCTTCACCATTTGTATTATTGTGCGAAGTACTAATTGAGTCATTCCATTTAAATTCATCATTTTCTTCCGTAGTTGAGAAACGATAAGCTGCTGAAGTGAAACTTTCAATAATATTGATATCTAAATCAGTATGATATTCATAGTTGTCACGCTGTAAGTTTAATCTCCTCTTCTTTTTCTGACGACCTAACTCAATCAAAGTACTGATTGTCTTGTGTTGATTCATTTCAATGAAACCTAACTAATATATACACCTGGCAAGAAAATCCAAGTAATAAAGACAATAATGATATATTTAGTAACAACTATGTGCAATTCACTTTTACGCATATTGGAATAAATAATGTAGACCATATATAGCGAAAAGAAAACTTTCCGTCGTGTCATAAAAGGACGTCAGTGAATCTGTCGGACATCAAGAAGAGAAAAATAGAATGAAGCGAGGATCAATTCTGTATAGCTTATGATCATATACCATAGAATATGTTTATCTATTCTCTTTTTTAATGTACTTTGATACAAAGATAACTTATTCAACATTATCATTTAAAAAAATAACAAATTTTATTGGTCAAACGAATACGAACATTCGTCTGAATTTTTACCAGATAAGTGGTGATGAATAGAAGATATATTTTGAGAAGTAAACGACGCAGGATCTCTATCAGAACGTATTTAATCGCTTAAACATTTTGTTTAAAGGCATAAAGCTATAGGTATTAAACCTAGTTACATAAAATAAACCTAAAATTATGATCTTACAAGATCATATAAGACCTTACAACATCCGACGTCAGTAAGATCTTGTAAGATCTTGTACGATTTGTGTATGATTTTTTCACCTAAGTCACTGATGAAGATGACTATATTTCAACAATAGAGTTTTTGGAATTGTCTTTCGATAGTCTCCATATTGATTCAGATTTTTTACAGAAAGATCTTTGATTTGATTATTAATCGTCGTTTGAAACGTATTTTTGCTTAATGAAGTGAAAAAGAAATGCATACAAGCTCTGAAAATATCTTAAGAAGTTATTTTATTGAATTGAAAAAGGTTTCCTATTAATTTTCATACTAGAGTAGACATAGGACAAAAAACATAGAAAAGCATTTTAATTAGCTTATATAATTCATTTGGTATTGATCGGGAATGTCTGTAAAATTTCTCAGTACTATAATCGAAACCATACTTGTTCATTACCTAAATTAATTTTTATCCAATTACACTTCATACTTTCGTCTTTTCAGAGATATTTTTTTTTAATAAAAAGTTCCGTAAAAATGCAATCCGTGCTAGCAAAAATAGAAATGAAAGCATGTTTTTACGCACTTTTTCGATTCAATCAATGTTTACTATTGATTGTTATCTGTTTGTAGATCAATTTAGAATGTTTTCATTGTCTTCATCAACAATTAATTTTTGAATAATTCCGGTTGTATGATCAGTAAATTATCGGAAATACAGGTAAATCCTCATTTTTAATTAAGAATATTGTCAATACAAAGGTAAAGAAACAGATATTTATCCATGTATTTATTTTAATCAAGCATTGCCAAAAGTAACATTCATTAACGATTACAGAAACACAAATCACATATATGTATCACAAGAAAAGGAGATAGATGGGGAATGGCGCAATGGCAACTTGTTCGTTTCTCGAGAATTGTCATCATGTTCGAGCTTTGCCTCCTTCAGCATCATGTTTATATAACTCTGTTCTGTTCTGCACGTCTCAAGCTACTCGTTCATCGATGGTCTATGCATTCTGCTCGCACACCAGGTCGGTTCGACTCGGCAAACCAACGCTCATGACTCATGTTATCTTTGCTCACCGTTTTATATGCTTTATGTTTGTGCTTTGCTTTAATTGATTTTCATTCTTCATAAGTTACTTGTAATCAGCACTATGTTCCTTTAGGTCCTATCATGGATAGAGGGTTAAATAAATCGCAAACAAGCACAAAAGGAGATAGATCATTATCATTACCGGATTTTAGAGAAATATTGCACGGTTTGACCAGAGATTAAAAACGAAAGGAAGTTTTTATCATCTGACAAGATAAATGAGAAGAAAAACTATATCTATATTCTTTGTCTGAGCAAAATTTCAATCAAGATCAATCGTATCAATTTGTTCGAGTAATTTAGGCATAATAGGTTCTTGTCTAAATACCAGAAATAAATTAATAAGAAATGAAAGATAAATATTCTTACTGTCCAATAGATACTGAAATAATAGGTGAAACAAAATGAATATCATTATCAAGTTGAACTTCATTAAACTTCTGTTGTTCATGTTGTTGTTGTTTAGGTGTAATATTTTCTTTTCTGGATAATCTTCTTCCATTTTTTCATTCATAATAACTGCAGTTACATGTGTTTCTATAGTTGTTTTTTTTCGTCGAGGACGATCAATAAATACTTCTGAATCCATTTTACATTCTTCTTCAAGTGTAAGGAATGATTCATCATCATTATTTGTTACTGTTGCTGGATTTGACATTGGTTAACTAACAAGGGAACATTCTCAACCGTCACATCCCTTTTGAGTCGAGCGTATGCACATCATGTAGGCTCTAATGATCTATGAATACTCTGAAAAAAAGTTCGTGTTGTTAGCTTATTACTGCTGAGATTTTACATTTCTATTGTGTTTAAGCAAAAAGTCGTGGTCCCTCTGAGGAACACTAGGAAAATTAAGTTTCGAATTTCGACTTGAAACTTTGCACAGAGATAGATCACAACGAAAATAGTTTATTGTGAAAGTTTCAGATCTTTTGATTGCTCTTAGTCTAAAATAAGAACATCGGAATCTGCTTACGTACATGAGCGATTTTACCATAGCTGCATCTTAGGATAGGAATAACGAAAAGACCTGAAACTTTCACAATAAACTATTCTCATTGAGGTCTATCTCGATGCAAAGTTTCAAATCGAAATTCGAAAGTCAGTTTTTCTAATGTTCCTGAGGGGAACTACGACTTTTTTTCTTAAACATACAGTAGAAATGCAATATCTCGGCAGTAATAAGCTAGCAGCAAGTACTTTTTTCAGAGTATTTATAGATCATTAGAGCCTACATGATGCACATACGCTCGACTCAGAAGCGATGTGACAGTTGGGAATGTTCCCTCGTTAGAATACTTTCATGTAACAAATAATGATGATGAATCATTCCTTACACTTG